TAAAATCCAATAGTCAGTGAAAAATAATTGATTGAAGAGAATTTAGCGTGTGGATTTTAGTCTTGACCATCAAAAACACTTCGATTGTATCTCTGAAACGGGAATTGGAGTATCAGATACATTGAATTATGTTCTGTTTTCTAATCCCGTCAGCTCGAGTGCCGGTTTGTTTGCGAAAACTGCTGCATCAGCTGTAAGTCGCTGTTATATTTTAATAAAAAATAAGAGGAATCAATTTATTTATTGTTATTGCCTGATTTTTGGAGACTGGGTAATGCTTCTATAGTTTATTCTTTTTTTGCAACTTTGAGGTCATGTAGATACCACACATCCCATAAACCAAGGCCATATTTTACATTTTTTCCTGCTATTTTAAATGATCATTTTTCAAATAGTACCACCAGTGCCGATCAGCTGCAGAGTGGGGATGACATGGAGATGAGGGGAAGGTGATAGTGACGGCCGCGCTTTCTCGTGCCGTCTGAGAGAACTTGTCCCCTGTTTTTGGCTTGACAATACCTGCTTGTATCATACCTTACACCCCAGCATTGCGTCTGGCGCCCTCCCTCTCTTGGGGTGTAGTACTACGATACCGCTGGGGTCACTCAAACCCCCAGAACTGAGCGTCTACTTTAGTCAATCCTCTTTCTGCAAAACAGTCGTAAAAATGAGAACAAACGTACATTATGGAGTGTTTATTATTTATGTACTCATCACTATTTATACAGCGATCTTTTATGTACTCAATTATTAGAGATGTTCGATAATGTATTTATCAAATTTACGCAGTGCTTCCTGCATTTCTGGGTAATGAGAGATTTTACAAGCGTCTTCAAGGGTAAACCATCCAAAATCCTGGTGCTCACTTGATAAACGAGCGTCACGTTCCTCTTTTATTAGCTCAGCTAACCAATAAACAACGGTCTTCGGTTTTTTGTTGACATTATAATTCAACTCGGCTTTTGCATTTTCAAAAATTCTTATATCTTCTTTCTTCAAACCTGATTCTTCGTCGGTTTCACGTAGAGCAGTCTCCATGTCACTCTCACCATCGTCAACGTGCCCTGCAGTATACGGAGATTTTTATTTTGAAATAATAACAAATTGAGGAGAATTGTTATCAAAACCTTTTGGGGGAGTCCAATGGTGTTGGCCGTAGGATGTCTGCATTAATAAATACTCAATTGGTCCTTTGAAACGACGGAATATTACGAGACCACAAGCGCGTGTACTCATCATGACAATTATTATCTGTCATACGGCGGTACGATAACCCCCAGTTGTGAATATTTCAAAACATTTTTATATTTTTTTCAATCACCCATTTTTTCAATTTTAATTCACTGGTTTTTCGATTTTTGGAGAGAGTCAATC